GTTGTGTGTCAGATATTCTCTTTATTTCATTAAATATACATATAAATTCCATTTTTAAATATAAATATATATTTATATTTTATTATTATTATTTTCTGATGTAGTTATAGATGGGACGCGTTTAACTAATTTTATAATTACCAAAATGAACCTTGTAGCCATCTACACCACACTTTTTATTCTTGGTCAATCTTATAGAGGTATTTTCAAGTTAAGATGGATTTAATTCAAGACAGAATAAGTTGTACAAGTCACTTTTGTCACAGCAAAATGTAACAAAATATAATGTTATTCTCATCAAAAAATGCCACACGTAAATGACGATAAAAACCGATTATAATGCATGAAAAATCATATTAAGCCCTATATTTCAGCACCCTTGATATCCCGAAATAATCTGGTATTATTAAACGATAACCATTTATGAGAGAACGAACAAAACAATAAAAATGAAACAATTTACATTTGAAACAAAAGTCCTGTGATTTAATAAGAGTTTAATGGCAATATAAATTTTCGTGATAAAACAATTCGATACATACAGGGTGTAAGGGACGTCGTAACGAATACTGAAATAGTGTATACAGACCATCATTCTGAGTCGAAAATCATTGGAATTTTCTGCCAGAAAATTTATCAATTCTTTTTTTTATTTGCTATGTTTTTGGTTAAAAATGATGAACAATGACATCACAATAAGTAAACAGAACATTTCACCCAAAATGATTCAATAAATACCACAAAATCAAACAACCGAAGTGTACGGGGCTTCTCCCACGGCCGCTAACTTGTGTTAGTGTGCGTAGACTGCTTGCTCGGAATACTAACACAAATAGTTATTACTTTTGTGCGATATCTACGGGGAATGACCTTAGCTTTTGACAGCTGATTAAATAAAACGTTTTTATTTTCCAGCAGAAAATTTCAATGATTTTCAACTCAGAAGGAAGGAAGGATGGTCATTCAAGTTGCCAAATTATAGTTTGGTCATTTAAATGTAATATTTATGTCGATGACATTACGATATAAATTGACGATACGACAATTATATTAAGTAGGTTAAAATGAACTTCCAAGAATTGTTTCAATAGGTAGATAGTAGCTTAGTAGGGTAATACATTAAGCAATTTCTGCCAGGTCAGTCTTTGGATGGGTGACCCTTCTTAACACATTGAGACCCCTCCTTGCCTTTGAGAGCACGTTAAGCAATCGGCAATCGTAACGGGTAGTTGGAGCCCCCAAAAGTCCAACAACAGTATTTTTACAGAACTTCGATATCGCCTAGTTCATGGGTTCTGAGGGCTGATGGCAGTTGCTTCTCGTAAAAAGCCAAATTCAGCCATATCATAGTAGACTAAAGGCCAACCTCAACCTAGTTAGTTAAAAAGACTCTGAAGAGGAAGACAGTTACAAGTAATGTTAATAACTGCGAGTTAAAATAGTTTTTCAATGGTTTTGCTGTATAGGTATGGGTGGGCGCGGGGATCAGTTTAACATGATTATCCTAAAAACATCGAAATTTTAGTATCTTAATAAAAATAATGATGGATTATAAAACTTGATATAAATGAATTCTTTACTATTACTATTTATTCTTTATTGTACACACTGAACATATATATAACTAACAAGGAAATGTCATGTACAAAGGCGAGCTTAACCCAAATCTGAGTTCTTTGTTCATATGTCAGAAGTCCAGATTTATGAAAAGTTCAAACCTCTTTTATGTTTTAATGAGACAACTCGTTCCTTGTGAGCATCATATGATGGAAGTAGAATTTGATGAGGTTCGTGTAGGCGAGGGACATATTCTTATGACCGTTTGTTAGTCTCTATGACTGGAACCGGACACGGTATCCACGTGGGCTGAGCTAATGAACACAAAAATTATTCATAACGGTTACTTGAGAGACTTTTAGATAGATTGAGATTTTCATGTATCTTAAAAGTGTAAAATAACATAGATTGTCATTCGATTGCAATATCAGAGATCAAGGTTTCGATGCCCGTTTAGTGCAAATATTTGTTTGCTCAAAGTCAATTTCTATTAGTCTGGATAAGTGATAATTTATATTAGATATGGTTCTAGATAGACTGCACGGATAGCCTAGTGGTTTAAGCGGTCACCGTGCCACTACTGCGCTGTGTGTTGTGGGTTGGATCCCTACATGGGAAAACACTTTGTCTAAACCATAAATTGTTGTTCTGAGTCTGGGTATACTTTGTGTCCATTTCACATGTTTCTGTATACGAGTAGTACCCCGCCGCACAGGATATCCTAGTAAGTATCTCACTTAGTGACTCATTCGCTTATACTAAGTGAATAGAAGTGTACTCCAATGATTTTGATTAGTTTTTGACCCGAAGGGCTCCATTGATTATTGTTAGAGATGAAACATTCTTCAGCATTAATATGGTGTCTGTCACTACTAAAGCATAAGACAGTAAATATCAGTTTCAGGTATGACATACCTGTTGATCTAGTGATTAGTAATCCTAACAGCTAAGCCAGAGGAGCATGATCTGCCTAGTTTGGGATAGGACGGCCGTGTGTAAGATGTGTGAGGGTATTATTTTCATTATTTATAGAAGCCAATACAAGAATACAACTAAACGTATATCTATATCATAAGTAGCTGTACCCTGCCACGCTTCCCTGTGGCACACTCTTAAATGCGTGGTCCATATATGTAAAAATCTATCTATATATCTTTCTATATGTAAAAATTTGAGCTCGATTGGTGTAGAACTTCTTAAGTTTTTAAAGCGTCTCCAAATCAACTTAACATTTTATATTATATAGACATGTATTTACAACAAAAAACTCTCTCAGAGAATTTTTATCCTTGTTGGCGAACAAGAACATTTAAATCTTCAGTTGTGATTTTCGGACTTGCTGCTCAATCAGGCAAATTGATTTCGAAGGCGCCTTGCTTTCGGCAACCGTCATTGAATAGTGTCTTGGATTGTCAGTGGATTATTAAGTACTATATTATGTATTAAGATGCAAATAGGATAGCATTTGTAATGTTTAATATTTTTATGTAGAAAAGGCGCAGAAAGCTGAAACTTAAAAAATATGTACTTTAAAATTTAAAATAACGTAGAAACAGTCCCAAAATTGTAGACAAGAGTATATTTTTTGACCTGTCAAAAGATATTGTAAAAATTAAATACAATATCAGCTCAAGTTACGAGTATATTGGACAATGAAAAAAAAACAAGACCTTAAAAATAGAAGAATTGAACCGCCGGTCTATCTTGAGTAAGAATAAACATAAAACAGCTCTTCTCTAAGTAAGCAAGAGTAATACAAATATATAGATGTGAAAGACTTACTACTCTATCTATTTGATTTTTTCTGGACGTTTTTATGTCTATATTTACAAAAAAAGTATATTTAAGTGTTTATTGGTATCAGCAACTCATAGTTTCAAGTGAACTTTGTTTAGTTTGGTTCTAGAGAGCGTGTGTTACGTCCAAGTACATTATCAGTCTCAGTCTGAGCAGACTACACTATGTTTTGCAATATGTCACACATAGATATCGCCACTAGACGGCAAAAAGGACGAAACGTGGAAACAAAAACTGTTATTCACAAGCAAAATACATTTTCTGTGCCTCTGTTCTCTCTCGTGGATAAAACATTCTCCAAATTACGGTAACTAAAATTAGAGGACGAAATTATAATAAATAAAGGGTTTTAATGAAATGAATTTATTTTTCAAATTTAATTTTCTTTTCAAACTTAATTTCATCATTTGTTAGATAATAACATGACAATCATTATGTAATAATAAACGTTTATAATAAAAGGTGTATCAATATTGAAGAAAATAATTTAACGTAACCATTTAAATCCCATTTGGTACATTACCTCCTAATTTGCATTTAGAAGCCGACGAAGCAAAAACAGTTAAACAATAGTTTTGGTTAAAGGAAACCATTCGTATTGAGTAATGTTTCCCCGTAGCCCCTTTATTACGCACCACCGTGATGCGGAAAGATATTCGTCGCAAAAGTTGCTACAAAATAAAAATTGAATGAATAACACTTAAAACTGATATAAAATAAATCTTTTCAAAATTAGTGAGCCCTACTAGTTATATTTTGAAAGTTATAATCCCAACAAAAGATTTTCATGTATTTTACATGAAAATGTTTTTGTTGGGATTATATTGCCAAAACGAGACAATCAGATCTTATCAGATCTTACGTAGAGCCAAGCTTGCAACTCTACACGACCTACCTCTACAAGCCCTTACTTAATAATCTATACACCTTAGTCAAAATATGTGGCTTGGCAGTTTCGTTACTACAAGAACTATTGTAGAAAGCTAATGAACAGTAAATATGTATCAGTATGTCAGGAATGTGTCAGGAAAATATTGTGTATGGCTCTGACTGAATATTCGTATAATGCGTAAAAAATATCATTTTAGCGTATAAAGCTGAATAAGTTCAGGGGTTCTGCATGACTCACCAACAGATATAAACAGACGGCACAATGAAAACGAAATGAAAACTGTCGTCCACGCACTGAGCGTACCTTGACCGTGCACTAATAGTACCGCGCGCGTACCCACTGTTACATATAATGACATACATCACTCCAATGGGATAAACGCCTACTTATTACAAGGTTGTGACGATCCAGGCAGTACTGCGAGCTCCGGGCCATTCTACCGTCGTATGCCGACACTACGGCTGGCCAATTGCCTGTAATGACACCACTCGAATGCGTATCCGTCCAATCAACTCCTAAGACAAGAGGATACTTTAGTCTGCTCGATCTGCCGACATTATCGCTTTGCTAGCGGGTTGCTGTGTATCAGGTTTAGTGTATACCGAGTGATTGTTATGAAGTGACGTGTCATAAAGTTTAAAATGAATGTGGTGTTGCACGCGGCTGGAACGAACCTCGTGGGAACTTCCAAAAGTCAAAACATATCTTTAACCATGATTGATTAAACTGTAAAGTGGAGCAACACTTTGATATCATGAATGGTATAAACGCTGCGGCTGAAAAGCCGGTGATGGGAGCTGAGATACCAGTAAAAGATGAAGCTAAATCCAAAAAGTTTGGTTTCAGAGAAAAGTTAATGCTGATCCGGTCCAATATAACTGTGGAACCTATTATAGCGTGCTATATAATGTCTAACGTGTTCTCAGGACTTGCAGTGCAAAATTTAAATCTGGAAAAAGCATGTAGGGTTAATTTGGGATACGACGATAAAGTATGTTCGGCGTTAAATAAACGGCAAACAGAGAATTATACTTTAGAAGAATCAGAAGTGCAGAAGTTGACAGCATCAGTGCAGGCATGGAAAAATATTGTTCAAACCACTTTTCCATGTATATTAATATTATTCGTAGGATCTTGGAGCGACAAAACAGGAAAACGGAAGGCATGTATACTCCTACCAATTGTAGGTGAAGTGTTATGTTGCACTAGCTTCATTTTAAACACATATTTCTTTTACGAGTTGCCTCTGGAGATTACTGCCCTCTCGGATCTATTTCCATCGTTAACCGGTGGATGGATAACAGTGTGCGTCGGTGTGTTCAGCTATATAGGTGATATAACCACATTAGAAATGAGGACATTCAGAGTAGGAGTCGCCAACTTGTGTATGTCTCTTGGAATTCCAATCGGTATGTCCCTCAGTGGCATTTTGTTGCAGCAAATTGGATATTACGGAATATTTTTAATATCGAACTGTTTGTACCTGACGAGCTTGATATATGGATACATTCGATTGAAAGATCCTGTCATATCTCCGGATAGGCAAAGAGTAAGTATATTTTAACTCGTAAAATTATTATTGATTTCTAATATTGTAAGAATTTTCAAGTCCGGTTAATGGAATATTGGTATGTCGCGATAAGTATAAGGAACATTGAGGCTATACGTCATTTGCAGAGTAGCTTGACAGGGCGGTTAGTCCTATGTCTAAGTGATAAATTGCTCTGCGCCCACTACGCAAATTCGAACGAAGGGGGACATCGTAACGCAATCAGCGTTTTACGCGAGGCTCGCATAGGTGTCGACTGCGATTTATATCCCCGTCCTTTGACATTGCCAATATATCTACAGCTAACACACTACATAAAATATTGCAGCTTTTCAATAGTTCTGTTTTAACGTTGATTGATGATACTCAGTAGTTGCGTATACCTTATAAATGTAATGCTATTTTTCAAAATGCTCCTGTTTTTGTTGTTGCAAAAGGCGTACTGAGAAATGTTTCACTTCTCAATTTTAAAATAGTGTAGGTATAAAACTTCTAAAATTTTAAAAAGGTTCCTGGACGTTTGTGCATGAAAACTTATGTCATATAAGCATAGTCTGATGTATTTTACAGGTTTAAAGCGCACATGAAAAAGTGGCGATTATATCAGGATTTTGTATAAACGTGAAATTGGACATATGTGGCTCATTCTGTGTTAAATTCGTTTCGTTAGCACATTTATTTACAATAAAATCCTGTCTTTGTAATATTGATGTTTAGGCATGACCTTTTTTTTTTAAACACAATTTACTTTTGCATAAGCAAGAATCAATTGGCGTAAATGAGAATGCATATACAATGTTTAAATTCTATCTGGAAAATAGATATCAGGTGATTAGAATAGGAGAATATACTAGTAAACCCACACTAATCAGCGGTGTTCCACAAGGATCTATAATTGGCCCACTCCTTTTCCTTGTTTTATAAACAGCATTCATGAAATAATACTCAAGGGATATATCTCTCTCTACGCTGATGAAACGTGTCTCTTTTACTTTGGTCATCATGTAGAATCTATTTCACAAAAGGTTCTAAAAAAACTTGAAAACGGTTTCTTGAGGAATTTATTGACTGTCAATGCCTCAAAGACTAATTCCATAATATTTTCAGCAAAGAACAAAAAAATACATGATCACTGACTTCTAACTATCAATGGAACAGTGTTGGCCAGGGTAGATAGGGAAAAGTATCTTGAACTTCTACAAGACAGTCAACTACAATGGAAACCACACATTAAACATTTACGTTCCAAACTAACCTTTTTAACCGAGGTTGTTTTCGAAATATTTCAAGATGTCTTCCCATTAACATTCGCTACACAATCTACAATTCAATGGTGAAGCCAATAGTGAATTATTTTATATGTTTATTTTTTTTAGTAATTTACAGTAATTTTATATTTACATTGTTGTACAACAACACTTGTTAAAACAAGGAAAAAACCTATTTGCTTCATAAAGTAATTATTGCATGTAAACCTACCATTAAATTTGCTCCACTACATACCAGCGTTCGAACAGAAAATTTAATTTTAAGAAGTACCTACATTGCATAAAAATCAGTTTGGAATGATCTACCTGGCAACGTTTACTTTATTTATTTATTTCTCCTTGTAAGAGATTTGTCTAATCTTGAGAAATAGAGTGAAATTTAAACATTAACCTTTTTTTCTGTCCCTTCATCTGTTTCTTTTACCAATGTTTGAAAAAGTTAAAGTATTTGTATAAATTTAAATATTATTATTTTGGAAAAGTGTAATACCGATTTTTACTCATAAGCTAACTCGATCTGATTTTTTTGAATTAAATAGTTTGATCCTTTTTTTTACATTATCATTCATGTTGTTGAAAAGGATTTGAAATTTAGAGTGAGATTTCTTCAACAGTTACAATTTTTGTTTGTCAAATATTTGTTTTATACTCTCGGACCTTAAAAATCGATAAAAGGCACAACATTTTAAGTTAATTAGATGATTTATTATTTTAAGCAAGACTTGTATAATCTATGCAGTAAACAATACTAGAAATAATTTAAAAATTATTCCTGCGGACCACATGGTTTACGAAAAGGTACATACCCTTTACTAACAGTCTGCCAAACATCATTATCAAGTTATTTGGAGATGACTTTAGTATGAATTGACCACAGTCTGAGTCAAAAGGACTTGTAAGATAACTAAGGCCCTACCTACATTATCAAGGGCACTCCACACAATAGTCTATCCTAATCCGTTTGATAGTAGATTGTTACTGCATCCTATGCGATCTGGAAATTCCATAGATGTCAAAATAATAGAATAAATTCTGAAATATATCTGCTTGTCCATGTCTATAATTTAGTATAAATGATCGTACCAAACCGAAGATATCTGGGCTCATTGAACCCCATGTTGTTTTGAACACTGTTTTGTTTTTACCTATTAAACATACTTTCTGCCCGTATCTAGTACTGTTACTACGATATTGAATTAATTGTTTTTAGTTATATGAGTAAAATGATGATAAATTATACAATATTTCACTTTAATATTTTTTTAAATAATGAGTTGGAAAGTACAATAATTTTTTTTGCAAATTTTTAAATGTTCTATACTAAATAGAGTTTATACTATTTTACACTCTTTTTTGACAAGACGTTGAGATTCGATGTGTCACATTGAATAAATAAACGCTTTCATGGCTAACATAGATAAAGCTTAATATTGGTCTTTGTGTGTCAAGTTCGGAATAACAGAAAATTGTCGGCACTGTAATTGACAATTTGCGAATTGTCCAGAGTTTCCTGAAGTTACTCCTTTAATGCTGGTTTGTGGTATTATTGTTGCAACACTGGTTGTACTACAGAATATTTTACATTGCATACAAGCAAGATTGGATTTTGTATCCGTAGAATTTGTCCATATATTATGGTTTCTTTTTTAGTGTAAAAGTTAAAAAATGACTTCAGTGGCTTTTTGATGGTCATCGTAATCCTTATCCTTCAAGTGTGGCCAATTCCAAAAAAAAAATTGTCAAGCTTTTAATTAACGCATGAAAGTAAGTATACTGGGTGGATTTCAAAAACATAAAAAACCATTTGATTGCAAATCTGATATTTTCAAGCAAAAATAGGCAATTATATTTTTTGATTACTTTACCGTGTTGAACGACTTTGAACTTGTAGACCAGCCGTACCGTAAGTGTCCACGTTTTCGCTCCGTATGTCATGACGGGTAGGAAGCACTCATTCAAGACTTTCGTCTTAAATCACTGTGGGATCGACGAGAAGTACGGTTAAACTTGATATAATATATTGTCATAACTATACGATGTGAGACAGACTAGTAAACTTAAAAGTGATAAAAGATTTATAATCCTGAAAATATATGATTTCAAAACTACGTAATAAAACATAACTTCGGCTGTAAATAATTTATAACACTCTTTATAATAATACCCGTAAACTAGTAACAGTGGTTATTTTAATCGTATTTTGTTGTTCTGGTGCAATTAATTTAATTTCTTTCTACGGCCACAAGCTGCTAACTGCAATGTCACCTATTTTGAAACCTGTTTCATAGAAGTTCATAGAAACAAATATAATAAGGGCGTACTGATAATGATTAAAATCAGAATGTGTAGATTTCGAAATTTCTTGTAACACAGCGCACTTCATTATTATTTTTATTATGTATTAAGTTTATAACGGAAAGTCATTTATGTAACTCTAAAATCACTTTCAAAAATCTTGCAAGTCGATATTTTTTTATTGTATCATTGAACAGCTGTTACTTTGTCATAGTAAAAAAGTCGCATATAGTATCAACATTAATCCCACATTTTACACGAGATTAATTAAAAAATAAAATTAAAATACGTAAGCTGAATTAAAAATGACTTAATTTTAAAGAGTTACAATAATCTAAATATAGTTTGGTATTTTTTGCCACTTCTGAGACTGTTTTTCTTGCATGAATTTAGAATAAAAATAACTTTATGGTTATATTATTAAAATTATAGTATTTCTTAAGTAATATTAAAAAAATAGACCAAGTTACTTATTTGTATTCTGAAAGAACTAAGCCTCATTGTTTCTTGATCAACGAGGGTCCTTTAAAAAGGGGTGAAGCGACTCGCCTCAATATTGTTAGACGCCTATAATAATCACTTATTTACACCAAGTTGTTGTGTTATATTAATGATGTAATTTGAATATATGCAGGAGCAACCAGTAGGCTGTCGAGGATGGGTGTGCTCATTTTTCGACGCACGCCACGTTCGAGAGACCTTGACGGTGGCCTTCAGGACCGGACCCAGGCGGCGAAGGCTCAGGGTGTCACTACTTATAGTTGTAGTGTGCGTGATATTTGGCCCCTTGCATGGTAAGTAAAATCGCAATCCCAGTTATTTTTATGCAGAGAATTTCAAGTCTCACTACTCTTTTCAAATTGTCAGAGCCTTCGTCCGTTTTCCAGTGTCCGTTCCGTCTCAAGCGGTCGTTGGTTCCATTTATACTTGTTGAGATTCCAAGTAACAAATGGTAAGAGGTATGCCCTTTATTCGGAGTCTTTAATGGAATCTACTCGTTCTCAACTCGTAACATTTTCTTAAGATGTTTACATGTTAGTTTTACTCGTATTCAGAGTCTAGAGTTTTTTTTTAACATAAAACTAAGTGGCACAAGTATTTGGAACGAGAAGCTTATATTATATGTGCTTACTTACTATTTAAATTTTGGTGTCTACTTAGTTGAGTTCCATTAGAATTATAACAGGTTCTTTACCAAGACTAGTTTTTGCATACGTATTAGATGTAACGGTTTCTTTCTAAATAACATTACGCGTTGTAATGCTATGTTATCAGTCAGACACCACATATAGAACATTTATATTCTGAGATAGTTCATAAACACAAGAGAAATTAACTTGTTGAGTCCTTGAAGAACTAGATCACTTTTATGTATCCGATTTTGACTTAAAAGTAGACTTAATTTTGGCTATTATACTTAAACATCTGTTCAGTCGTTTGAGAATTATAACGGTATTTTCCTGTTTTTAAATTAAGTTTTACCTGAACTACATCGATGATGTGTAAACTCAGGTCGATTATGGGATTTTTTATTTATATTGAACACTACTGCACTTTTGTAAGCATTGAATTGATAAATTAAGCTTAGTCTACTGTCACCATTGTTTTATTCGCATCAGCTATCAATTTTACTTAGTAATTTTATCCGAAAATGATTAAGTCCATATCTCTTCTATATCCTTTATGTGTTCACAGTTTACACATATTTCTGTAAGCAATTGTACACTCAGGTTTATTCAGGTTGGAATATGACTAATATTATTTTGTTTTTGTAGGTGAAATGAACGTCTTGTACCTGTTCATGAGATACAGGTTCAACTGGGATGAGGTGCAGTTCAGCATGTTCTGCACATACAGCATCATCACTAATTTAGTTGGTGAGACTCCAGTATAGCGTGTTTTTCTCCTTATAATTTAAGCGTAACACAATTAAAAAATTTCAGACACAAAAGATGTTGGTATGTATCATCATCATCATCATTTCAGCCGAAAGACTATGTCCACTGCTGGACATAGACCTCCCCTAAGGCTCACCACAACAATCGGCTTTGTGTTGCCCGCATCCAATAGCTTTACACGCACATTAAAATACATATACGAACCCTTTATCAAATAGAGTTGTACCTGTAATTTAAACGTGTCGAAGAGCCGACCTAGGGAGCAAACTTTGCGGATAACAGCATAGCAATTTAATTATATTATCAGTAGGAAAAGCTTATAATACATAATTTCGTGCCCACCGAGGTCGACTTTTAATTTGCCCAGGTTTTTGGCATGTCCACGTCGATAAACTTTGAGATTAATTATTAGATTATGTTAAAAGATATTGTCTCTGATAACCCTAATGACAACGAAACGACCTTCATCCATGCACATTTTGATTTTTGACCTTGTTGTTTAAAAATAACTCTCGACGAAGGCGTGATCTTTAATTTATACAACATTTAACAAAAAAGGTTTTTAGAAGAGTTACACAGATAAACGATATACACTAACGCTTTAAGTTAATAAAGATCTAATTTAATCTGTCATCTAGATTTAAATTTGAATGTTTGATGCTGATGCAGCTTAATGCTGAGCTTGGTGGAATACTTTGATAGAAATACAAAGTTTGATATGATATCTTAAATTAAATGTTTTTTTTTGAATTAAGTATGTCGATTGTAAGGCTATTCAAAGCAAAAAGTAATATAATAGCTGAGTACGTACATAATAACTAAGTTGTTATTATGTACGTACTCAGTTTGTCATCGTCGAAGTGTACTATGTACTTACTGTGTGAATGTCATACGACTAAATCGTGGTAATTACTCATACAATACCAATTTTTCTATGGTATGGTTTTAGTGATTGATTTCATTTTGTTCTTTCTCCTTCCTCAAAGTTCCTAATTTTACAAAGACACTTTATATACTATACTATATTTTTAAAGTTTATTAATTAAATCGTACGCCAATCGATTTCTCTCATTGCTGGAGGTTAAACCTCTAGAGCAAAATAGAGTGACAAAACACAAAACAAAAATGATACCATAACAGTCAGAAAATAAAGGTACTGTCTCTTGAAACTATCTTTTGTAAGTTTCTCGACATGATTTACGAGAGTTGAAGTCGGTTCAAGTTTTTAAAACAGAGATTTAAAGATTCAATATATATGTATTGTTGGATTCGTGTAAAATATAGTGATGTGTCGCCTTAAACAAAAGTGAAAAAGACGTGTCAAGAATAACTATTTTATTACTCAATGAAATTAAATTATGATGGATGTGCAAAATTTGAAAACTATACATTAGGATTAATAGCTGTAACATTTTATTCATTAATCTTGGGTCAAGCCCCATTTATAGTTAACTAAGGTCTGATATGGACTTTTACAAATATGATCTGGTAGTCTAACATTTTCACACAAAATTTAAAGTTATAAAGGTCCTAGGTTATTTACGAAGATTTATAAAAGCGATAAAGAAATATTTTTAATAATTTATCTTCAGGACTATGCACGTTATTTCATTAGTCTTGTGTATCGTAAATAAATATATTTTCTATGTGATTAATGGTTATCTTTTTATAATGTTATTTGAAGGTTATACTTAATGGCCAGATTTCTTTGAAGTGAATAACTTTTAGTTCGTCTTTCAAATGTACTTATTATTTTGTTTTTTCGTTAAAGAGAAAGTTTATTCAGTGTCTTTTATTTGTAAAATCTATCGTTATGACATGTGGGTCCCCGGTCTCCCATAACCTTATAGTATCATTGCTACTTCATATGTGGAGACTTGTGGCATTCTTGATTCCAGCTCCTTCGCCCTATCCGTTTTTATATCTTAATTTAACGTCTGACTTTGACCTACCTGAAAATAATTATAATCCTTAAGAAAGATTATAAGAGATCATAATCCTTTGCGATGTTAGACGTTGAACCAGTCCTGAACAACAGAGACAGACAGACCTTTGGAGAATGCTTCGCCGCTTTAAAGAAGATGACTAACAAGAATTAAAAAAAAGAATGCTGTCGAAAGGATGAGTAAAGAGCGAGTGACTAATGAAATTTATAACCGCTGAACGTGATCAGCGGTCTCTCACAGAAAGACACAACTGCGCCTCGGCCCTCCTCACCTGCCCGAATGGTAGTAATGATTGCTGGCGAGGACAGGTCTCGTCTGATTTGGTCAACAAGAGCGTCACGTTCAGATGCGGCGTAAAGAACCCTATATAAGGGCATAGTTAAAAGCATTCGTAACCTGCAAGTGTGTATGAAAGGTTTGATGAATGAGAAAGAAGCACAACTAGTACGAAAGAACTAATGCAAATAGGGTTCTATCTCTGCCTACTCTAGATGGTAATGAGGCGTGAGTATTTGTATGTATGGTATGTATGTAATCAATGTTATTATTAATATATTCAAATTATAATAGGAATGTAGGACCACTTGGAGTCTATTCTCAAATTTACAATCCACTGGCAAATATAATTTTATGAACTTGAATATACGGTACAACGTCTTTATGGAGATCACTTTGATATGTATTAAAAGGGTATAAGTTTAGTGACTAAACATAAAGGTTAAATAAAACCTAAAATAATGATTGATACTTTTATTATTCAGTTCAGTTTCGTTATTTCAAAAATCTTCGTTATATCAGGTACGCTGTTCTCCATCAGCATATTCAGCGGCTTCATGAAGTTGGATGACACCATGGTTGGTATAATCTCCTGCACCAGCAAGATCCTTGCTTCTTTTATATTCGCATTTGCTACCACGGCCACGGAAATTTACTTGGGTGAGTTGTCGCTTCCTATTTTTTCTACGTCGAAAAAAGACGAGTATTTTGTAGAAGTTTGACTTGTGAATCTGTCTGTGGTGTCATAACCAAGAGAGCTCTTAGCTGTAAATTCAAGACCACCTATTTTGAAATGAAAGTAAAAGACTAGTGTATTTGTGTTTTAGCTAAGCTAAATACTTGTGCCAGGTTGGTGGTTCACGTCTTTATTTTACTGGGTGGGATTTGAGCCCTGAAACAGCGGATCGTAAGTCCGATGTCTTGGTCATCGCTATCGCAGTATTACATGTATTTATTAAATCGAAACAAAAAACTCCATTACAAGGTAGTTAAAACCTGATTATTATGTAAATAATTATGCATAGTACATGACAGATGTAGCTGTACATAATATATCTACGCTTAATCTTTCTAATATACACATGTAACAGTGTAATGAGGCTGTAATCTGTTAAGTTTAAAATTGTTAGTTAAATCTTAATTTGCAGTAAACTGATTACGATTTTTTTAAATATGATAAACCAAATACTTTGTATTCTGTTTGTTTTCATGATATTTACAAAGTTCCCTCTTAAATTAGCAAGTAGTAGAAATGTCAACATTTAATATCAAGAATCAGTTCAGACTTGATCTTCTAATACTTACCTTTTATATAAAACTATACATATGTATGTTTATATTTAGCCTATCTGTGGTTGTTGCAGCTCCGCTGGTAGAGATCTTCAACGGAACATCATTCATTGCGATGAGATCGATTGCATCTAAACTAGTTACTAGTGAAGAATTAGGTACGTTTTACAAGTATATTAAAAGTTTTTGTCATATTTTGAACTCGAATGAGATTGACATATAAAGCATATTGTATGCATCAACTTTACTTAATATACTTTTCTAAAGGCACTTCCTTCTTTCCAAATGGATATAGTTTTAGTAATGTAAATAAATGGTTGAGATTGATGTATAGTTAAAAGAAGATAAAATAAAACAAAGAGTAAGCAATTGTAGGTAACGAGTGCCCAAAATCCTGAAGCATAGTTATAGTATATGGCGTACGATTAACATTTACATTATAATAATATGTTTAAACTTATAAAAAATTGAGGGAATATAAAAATACGCCTATCATAATTACATTTCAAATATAAAGAGCCTTCAGCTTAAAGCAAATTTATTCCTGTCTTAGCTGAAATCTTGCCTGGAAGAGATTGCTGTCAGACATAAGGTAGCCTTTGTTATGTGGTTTTCATCGTGAATATAAATTATATTCCAGGTATTCTTTGTGCTGCTAAAAACCTTATAAACATATCATTAATGAATAGGTATATTCTTTATACTTATACTCATAATTATCATCACATAGAGTTCAGATTTAAAAACGGCTTTAAGAAATACACAATTTAGTCATAAACGATTATGACATGTGAGAGATACTCGTACATTAGCGTGTGAATTTGCGCAGACAAGTTCTCTGACTTCATTTGAGATCTATTGACGTGTTTTGTTTTCTCCGCAAGGTCATTTTAAAGTTATACTTATGCTACAACTAGACTATACATAATTTTGAACTACTGCAGTCGCTATCGAACTTATTTTTATAAATTCGTTTGTTATCTGTTCTAAAATAAAGATTTATATATACTATATAGTAAAACAAGGTATTGCCCTTACATTTACATACTGATTTCATTTCGGAATGTTGCTGTAATCCGGAATTCTCTATCATCGCCCTCATCAGGTTGAAACCGTATCTATATTAAATAAAAACATATGGGTATGGTTAATTATGTTATCGTATCATTTGTCGTACTTTAGTAAAATAAAATAGCTAAACCTTGTCAAAAAATTGTCGGAATAGGGCCTTGTAATTTGATTTGATCTTTTAGGTAAGGTCAACTCGCTCTTCGGTTTGGCTGAGGCGATGATGCCCTTGGTCTACGGTCCCCTATACTCCAGGGTCTACATGGCAACACTGAACATTTTACCCGGAGCTGTGTTCCTGCTCGGAGCTGGCATGACTGTGCCTGCTGTTGCTATATTTGGGTAAATAATATTCAAAATCTTTATATAACTAATTTGGCCTGAAAACTGTAGGTATATAAGTTAAAGTATGTAGGTAAATTACATTAAAAAAAATAATAATACAAAAACGCATATAAAACATGAATATATGGATGTATGTATGTATGCGAACTGACTGAGAGCGGAATTAAGTCGTAATCATAGACTGACATTACATGTATTCCTGTAAACATAAATATTAAATCAAATACTCCTGTGGGCCTTACCTGTACCGACTCAAAGTGGGCAAGTCCGTACATATAGGTATGTATTTGTGTTAATTTTTTTACATTATCGCTGATTTGAACGGTATAGGTACCGTTCAGATCAGGGATATTGTAAAAAAAATAAAAGTCGCCTCATACCGGCGACCGTGTAAGTAAGGTGTGATAAATATATATATATATATATAAGAGACACAAGACTGATGTGAGTTGCTTTATCGTATGTGTACCTCGAACTCCCTTTTTTAAACGACTGAAAGTTATTTGAATAAAATTACAACCGTTTAAAATGAAAACCCCACCTCAAGGGTATTTGTATGTACTAAAACAGGTATCAGGTATTGTCGCCTAAATATTTTCTTCCAATGAAAATAAAAACGATGCTTGTGCAGACTTTGGTTTTCCCAGTTATCGACCATGGAGAAATGTGTTACCTCGTCCTAAATGCAGACCTACTCAATAATCTTGATGGACTTCTTAACGGTTGCATTCGGTTCGTATTCAACTTGCGAAAATATGGTTGCCTATAAGACAGCGTCGTAGTTTGAGAGTGCTGACTATGTTGTACCTTGACTCACTAACTCACCTACTTATCTAATATCTGACTTCCTTTATCTCTGCTCTAACCATGACAGAAATCTTCAGTCTTTACACACTCTTACCTCCTTCGTTGTCCTTCTTACAATTGCAGTATGATTCATTCTTCCTTCGATGTTCAAGCTTCTGATTTGTAATATATTAATACAATAATAATATTTCGGACATCTGACACACAACGCCATCTAGTTTCAAACTAAGCAGAGCTTATATTTTGAAAGCTAGATTGACTGATAGAAAACTCATGTACTTTTTTTTAATAGTTAAGATACTTTTGTATTATAATTCAATACCGGTATAATTCATAAGATTTTTAATGTACCCAGGTTTATATTCATTGTGAAAAACGATTCACATATAAATTAATGTGTAATAGAATGAATTGAAATAGTTTTGTTATCGGTAATCATCATGTTATTACAAAATACGTACTTCAATGCGTATTTTGCATAGTTCGATATACAATCGGTAAACTTATAAATGAGTCAGATATTAAGAGTTTCAAGTATTTCATCAACAGCCTTTAACAGTCCACTGCTGGACATAAGCCTCTCCTTAGAAAGGAGGTTTTGGCCTACTATACCACGCTGGCCAGACGGGTTGGTATAGGGTTTAGCTGGTCGGCGCTGCGTCTGCCCTAGGGCAACTTTTGCCCAATATGGGTGGACCCAGCGTCGCGACAAGACGGCTGTACACGGGGGTTGTCCGGTCAATGGCACTGTACGGTGCACCGGTGTGGGCGGCGGCTCTGACCGCCCAGAATAGGGTACGCCCCTGGCGCCCTCAGAGGGTAATGGCGGTCAGAGCCATACGCGGTTACCGCACCGTTTCGACGGAGGTGGCATGCGCGTTGGCCGGAACTCCCCCGTGGGATTTGGAGGCGGAAGTGCTCGCCGAAGTTTATCGGCGAGTGGCTGACTCCCGGGCGGAGAGCGGATTTCGCCCTCCGCCCGAGGATGTGCGCGAGTGGCGCTCGCCGAGCCACGATGGCTCGTTGGTCGTTCCGGCTGGAGACTCCACGCGCTGGCTTCGCCGCCGTGGAGGCTCTCCAGCCGGTCATCGCCGAGTGGGCAAGGCGGCAGCACGGGACCCTTTCCTTCCGGCTGACGCAGGTGCTTTCCGGGCACGGTTTCTTCGGAAAGTACCTGCACTCGGTCGCTAGGAGGGAACTGAGTCCCGCCTGCCACCACTGCGACTGCAGTGAGGACTCGGCCCAGCACACGCTGGCGGTCTGCCCCGCATGGGCAGCGCAGCGCCGGGCCCTCACCGCAGTCATCGGAGTGGATCTCTCGCTACCGGCCGTAGTACGCTCCATGGCCGGTAGCGACAGTTGTTTTACCGCGGTCGCAACCTTCTGCGAGGTAGTAATCTTGTGGAAGGAGGCGGCGGAGAGGGCCCGGGAGGACGACCTCCACTCGGACCCGATCCGCCGCCGGCGAACCGGGCGGCGGAGGCCCGCCTATCACAGCCTCATGCCGCCCTGAGTGTGGCCGCGGGTGGACGGGGTGGGTTTCCCCTCCACCCGCATTAGTTTGGCCAGCCGCGAGGGGGCGGCGTCCGCGTGTGCCGGACGTCGCCTAAAGAGAGGAAAAATATTGAGACGGAGCCCGCACCAGGAGCGGGCTGGCGCTAGGAGGGGTCCGGATGTCTTAACAACAGCTGTTCCCGGATCCCTCCTGTTACAGGCGCAGAGTGGCACACCGTGTGGTTTTAGTCGGTCCGAGTCCGACACACCACCCCGCCGCAAACCCCGGAGGGGTGACGGTCCGAGGGGATTTCCACACGTTAAAAAAAAAAAAAAAGGGTTTGTGTCAAGTTTTACTTCTCTCTGCAGTGCTGTTGTTCTGCGTAGTTTACTCCCTTAGTCGGCTCTTACGACACCCACGGGATGGATAAGGGTGGTGACACTGTATTCTTAATCCGTCACCACACGGACATTTCAAGTATTTAATGTAGTTATATTGTTAATACTAAAGATCGCCTGCAGGTTGAATTTCTACCGTTTTAAATGTGTATGTCGGTCAGTTATCGCGGTAAAAAGTAGCCAATGTCCTTTCTCAGGAGTTAAATTATCTCCATGCCAAATTTCATTTAAATCGGTTCAGCGGTTATTGATTCCCCGTAGTAACTTCCCCTCCTTCTAGGATGTTGTCCGGGAAAAAAAAACTATGTTCTTTCCCGGGACTCAAACTATCTCTATATCGAATTTCATCTTTATCAGTTTAGCGGTTTAGCGTGAAGAGGTAACAGACAGTCAGATCGACGGACAGACAGACACACTTTTGCATTTATAAATTTTTTGTATGGATTTAGCATAACTATCACTGTCATGATATACCTAAGCGTTTGTACCATGAGCAGTCAAAATATCTAATGGAACAGTATAGTGTTGTATAGGCGTTTTATACATTTTTTAACTTTATTAATTAATATTATTTAACGGGAATTAACGCGATCTCTTACACCGGCCGTGGTCACAGGCTGACTAGGTGCAACCTGGTCGAAACGTCAGGCAAACCAGAGGTATGTAATACCCTAAATAAGAGATCGCGTTAATTCCCGTTAAATAATATTAATTATCATGGAACGCGAAAGTTTAAATTTTTTTAAACTTTTTAGCATCTTTTGTTGAAAATGGTGCTTTCTGCACTTCATCTGCATGTAAACTTTAAGTATTGCTAACATGATAAATATGAAATGTTTGTTCGTACTCCATGTTTCAAAAAGCGGTACAAAGAATATTCTTCTTCACGTATACATAAATAGATTATGAGTCTGCAGTGCAGAGATTCCCAAACTATTTTTGGGCAAGAGACCCCTTTTCTAAATCATTGCTAAATTACTGAACGCTTATACTTGTTGAGTTTTTAAAAAGTACAACAATTATACTTACTAGAAAATATTAGTCGTTCTTATAAGGAGTTAGTACACAACTAAAACAGTATCATGAAAGTTTAAAAAAGGAACTTGTGTTAATTAATAGGGATTAATTTTTAGACCTCGTCGACCCTCAAAATCAGTTTTCGTTTATATCGACCCCTGGGAAACTTCAATTTTAATATTGAATTTTATTGACAATTCAAAAACTCATGTAATAGATCAAACTCAAATATTTTACCTTATATTCATTTACAACATCTCAAAAGTCTATAACAGTGAAAAAGCCAATTTGGGTTACAATACGATGTCATTAAAGATTTCAATTTAAGTTCTTCAAAATTCTTTAATATCTATCCGAAACTTGTATTACAACTTTATGAGACTTTGGCACTTTTTGGTAATGAAACTTTTGATATAATTTTCAACTTTGAGATGTGAGATAAGCACGTATCAATAGATAGAGTCGCTTTACTAACTGACTGTCTTTCGTCTTCTGATTTTCTTGGCTCTATGGCTTAATAAGGGTGCTTCTTCTAGTAGCTGGAGTGGACAAAGACGTGGGCTATTTGCATCAGTAGCAGTTACTTGCATGTTTGATTGATATAATGTGTGCAAGTAACCCACGCGAGTTGCTGGACTCGCATAGTCCTTTTCGTGAAACAAATAACCTCTAAGTAAGTGCCTCAACATGCGAGAACTACTTGCATCGTGTAAAGCACCCTTACAATTGAATATACTTCTATAAGGACTTAATGGACTAGATTAAAAATGTCTGATAGGTAAGCACAAAATGCATTACTTATTTACTGAAAAATTTGATGACAAAGCTTATTATCGTATTAAAACAGGCCTAAAACCTGAAATGCTTTTGTAGATTAATTTTGGACTTACGTAGTACGCCGCAGTGCAAATCGATGAGATTGCTATAGTTGTTTAGCAATTTATACAGGCGAGAGATAAGAGAATTAGGGCATAAATTTATTTTCAAGTTCTTGTTATATCCATGATCACCTGTTCTGCGACATCTGCTTATTTAAGAGATTTTGTAGTAGAGCATTCCAAGTTTCTGTAGTCAAAAGGAACTTTTAATAATCAACTAATAAGAAACTGGGAAGTCTGTCAGCTGTACACCTGTTAGACGTCCCAGATTCTTTAAACTTCAGACTGTATAGTCTGAAACTATTTATAAAAAGCAACGTATTCGGAGTGTCACCACCCCTATTCATCCCATGGTGTTGCCAGAGCCGACTAAGGGAGCAAACTACGCAGTACAAAATCACT